TTTTTTTTTTTTTTTTTTTTTTTTTTTTTTTTTTTTTTTTTTTTTTTTTTGCCTGCATCCCTCAGGCAGCACACCTGGAGTAAGCTGAATGTAGACAAATAAACACAAAACTCTTGACGGCTCGGCCTCCCAGCGTGTCGTTGCGCGGCGCGCGCTCCTGCCTCTTAAAACCCCCCGAAATTCGGGATGTTCTCCGCTTTCTGCGCTTTTAACGACCTTAAACTCTCGGGTTTGAGACTAAACCCCGCCGGGGGCTTCCAGCAGGAGACGACGGACTTCCAGGAGCGCGGCAGCCCGAGCCGACCGGCGGAGCAAGCAGGGCTGGCTGGAGCCTTGGGTAAGACCAAATTATTGCCTTTGCCGGTGACGAAACCAGCGCGCCGGAGCCGCCCCCGATCCCGCGCCGCGGTGGGTACGGGGCAGAGGTGCCGGATTCTTGGCGCGGGGCGTTGGAGGAGGGATCCTTGGACGCGGCGCGAGGGGTTTTGGGTGAGTTTGCGGCAAGCGCCGGCGGGGAGTTCCTGGTATAGATAATCCTCGTGGCCCTTAGGTGACTTCCCGGCCGTGCCGGTAGCTACGGCACTCCTCGCAACGATAACGCCATTTGAACACCGATAGCGGTTTCGGTTTACTCACCTTTCTGGAGGAAAGGTGGAGCGGTGTTTGCCCAGCTGGGCGCGCGCAGGCGCTGTCCCGGGGAACCGACGGTGCCGAGCGGCTCCCACGCCCAAACGTTGCGGCACCTCGCTGCCGGGTGGCGTCTCTTTGACCAAAGCCACGGGGCAGCCGGGCTCTGAGCTACAAAATTGCACCTTTTCCAACAAAAACGACGCCGGAGCTGCCTCTTCGGCTCCTTTAAGCCGGAGCCGTTATTGCACCGGTGCCATTCTGCCACGTGCGTTTTGCACGTGTGTAAATGCGCTGCCTCCGGCGCGGCGCATTTATTTTAAATAAACTTTGCGCCTTGCCCCGGCGTTCCCGGTTCTCTCCGCGCCAGCGGCAGAGCTGGACACGAGCGCAACCCCTTAACGCCCCGATGGCGTTTGTTCTGCTGGTGGTGGCGAGGCTGAGTTGAACCAACAGCCAAAGCAAACACCGGGGCCGCTGCCCGGCTGGAGCCGGCATTTCGGTGCCGGCGGCCCCTTCCCGGTGCCGCCAGCGGCTTCCCCCGCAGCCGGGGAAGAAGGGAGGGGGAGCGGGAAGGTGTTCTGAGGTCCGGTTTTTATTTCTCGTTCCCCTGCTCTGATTTGATCGGCAATAAATTAAATCGATTTTCCCCGGGCCGAGTCCCTCGTGCCGCGGCGGTAACCGGTGTGGGATCTCCCCCCCCCCGCCCTTCGCTCCCCC